GGATGCCTTTGCCAAGCCAACTACAGCTCCCTTACTTTCAGTTCTCATTCTCTTCTGTGTCTCGGCCTTTCTGTTCTGCTCATGACCATGGGTGTTAAGATATTAAAGAACATCATCAGAGGTCCTACCTGAGGACCCTGGTCTACAACCCCAAGAATTATAGTTAGAATTTTCTGTGTATATACATTTTTTCTAAGGAGACAGTCAAGGGAGCTCATCAAATTTTCTCAAGGACTCACCATTTAAAAAAAAATTGAGAACCAGACAACTATAGGGACTCTTGCTATCGCCTCGTTTTTCTTGTTGAGAAATTCCAACAGTGTGTATATAAGTAGTAAATAAGGTCCATCCTTATGTAGTGAGGCTCTCTGGGCCAGTTTTTTGGTCCCCTTGATGCTACCTGGGGTCAAGACCGACTCCATCTTTAAGAAGCAGAACTTCTTAAAGAAATTATTAGAAAGGGCCACCAAAGAGGAAGGCAGGAGAGGATGAAGTTCTTTATGGGTCCTCCATCTTTCCTTACCTGCTGCCTGCCTCGATGAAGAACTGATGAGAAAGGAGGGTCTCAGGAAGGCTAGAGATGCCCAGTAGCTTTAGGGGGCTCCCAGGTGGGCCAGGGACTGACATCAGGAAGCCCATTGTGTCACCCCAGAGAACAGTCCTTGAGTCTAAGTCTAAAGGCATCTGAGGCTGTCACTTCAGCTTCCTGCCCAGTTTGGGAAAGCTCTTCACTATCTGAAAAATTTTCATGTAGGCTGCTCTGTGTAAACACTTTCAGAGAAGGGGAGTGCATGACCCTATGGAGAGGAGGGCATGGAGGAACTCTCCACCCTGAATGCTTGGCTACTGGGAGCTCTCTAAACACAAACTCTGAACCTGTGGCTCAAGTTTCCCCTCTTCAGCAGCTTCCCCTCACCCAGCCTCCAGCACCTTGCCACTCAAGTTCCCCTTCCTTCTCTGGGTCTCCCTTCCACCCTGAGTTTGGGGCAGGGAGCAGACAGGGGACTAGACCTTGCTTTCTTTCCTACAGCCAAGAATCCACATTTGTATGTGATTCTGTACTCTTGGGTTTGAAAAATGTGCAACCACATATCCCTAACTTCATTTTCTAGGAAGTGGAAGTAAAAACTGAGGTTGGAAAACAGCAGAGGACAGCAGGATGGACTGGCTAGGAGGAGCCCAGGAGGCTGCCAGTCTGTCTCTCAGTGGCCTGGGTGCCCCCAGTGGTAGCTAGCCTCCTTCTGGACATGTTCAGGCATGGAAGGCATATGAATTTTGAAGCAATCAATTGCACTGAGATCCCCTTTCCTTTTCTCACAGGGAATGGCTGACAATAAAGAGATGGAAAACAGGCTCCCAGTCATGTAAGATCTTTCCCGTGAGAAACAGGGAAATTGTTCACAGGCAAAAATCCCCTAAACAAGCAAACAGCAGAGGTTCCCACCAACAGTTGTGGTGTTGTAGCCTCAAGGCTTCCAACTGTAGCAGGTCACCTTGGATGCAGCGGAGCACTTCTCAGGAGCCTACAAGGAAACAGCCTACAAGGAGCTGTCACACATCAGCACCTTGCTGGCCAAAGGGCTCTTAGCCCAGATCCTGTGCTGCGTGTCTTCAGTTTCTAAACGTTTTTATGCAGAAGTACCCCAGCTGGAAAACATCTCCCAAGAAGAGCTAATTTTGCCACCTTTTCTGAGCTCTCAACAGAGCGATAGAACTGGAAGGGCTCTCAAAATAATCTCCTGAGCCTTCCCATTTTAGAGAGAGAAGCTGAAGCTCAAGGAGAAACAGCTATCTGCCTACAGTCACACCCTTCACGAGTCTTCTCTTCAGTCCTCCAACAGTATTTGTTAGCAAGTGCCCTGGCCCACTTCCAGCTCCCTGCAAATCAATTTCCTCCTAATTCCTCTCTCCACTGACCTGGAATGATGTGCCCCCCTTCCCATGGGAACTCTGTTTCTGATTGCTGGGCACGAAGGACAGCAGGGAAACTTAGCGCCTTGTGTTGAGGAGCAGCCTGGCTTGAGGGTGACTCTAGCTATTATTGGAGTGACATCAAGAAATTACACAGAAGTAGCCCAAGTGCCCAGAATACTCAAGGGCTTTAGCCAAAGAAGTCTACGAATACTTCTCTTTGAAGTCCACGGGGTCAAGTGGTAGAGTTGTAGAGCTCATCCAATTCCATGATAGAGTCTCTAACTGACCACCCATAAAGTCAATTCATTTTGTGCCTTGGTTTTCTCAGATCTAAAAAGGAGCATATACATAGATGATATGCAAGCACTGCCTATTTGAGACATGCTGTTTTAAAGAAAACAACAACTGTTTTATGGGAATTCCCTAAGCTTACCAAAGTCCTATCTCTCCAAGCTGTTTCTTAAAGATTGACAAGCTAGCAATGGTGGTAGCACTTTGGGATCTAGAGAAGTTGAGTGACTACATGTGAAAAGTTAGACATCTTGTGTTTTAATGACATTTTGTGTTTAATGTGAAGATGGGAAATTCCAGTGTGGGCAGAAGTCTTTACAAGAAGGGATAATTAGACAAAAATATCATCTTCATGGGTTTCCGCACTGTGTGTGTGTGTGTGTTTTGTTTTGTTTTTAATCTAAGGGATGAAGATTTGATCACAGAATTCCTAGAATGAGAGAAAGATCATCAAGGCATAGAAAAACTCTCAGAATTTCCACAGTTCTGAGCAAGGTGCCTCCAATAACTTGTCAGATTGGTAACATCAGGAGAATTCTTTTTAACCACATCCCAGGACCCAGTAATACAGAGACTTAAAAACACCCTGGTTGACTAATACATCCCCTGTAACCCATCACAATTTTAAATGGTGGCTTTGGAAATTTTCAGAATGAAAATCTGCCTTATGAATCAGCTAGAAATTGCATCTGTTGACAGTCTAATTGGAATTCGTTAGAGATCTCTCACCCCTGAGGAATAAAAAGTCTTGTGTATTTTAGGACTTGGGGGAAGAGGTCTGAGATAAAATCATTTCTTACCCTGGCATGGTTCCCAGAAATGAAACCTTTTCATTCTCTTTGGCCTCATTTACCTCTTGACCAGACTATTTCAGGAGCCTCACAGCTGGTCTCTGTGCACATAATCTCTCTTCACTCTACGCCAGAGTCATCTCCATAGAGCTCTGGCCCTGCCTGCAGTGAACAGAAGAGGCACAAGCCAAGGAGATTGGGCCTTGAAGCCCAGCTCTGTGTACTTCTGAGTTTTGGGTTCTTCATCTAGTGGATTTGTGACATCCATACGACAAAGTGGTTATAAATATTAAAATTAGACTTATGTGTATGGCACTCTTTTATCAACTACCAAATGGAGTTAAAATTTTTAACTTGCTAGCCAAGGCCTTGTGTCACTCATTTGACCCCATCCTGCCTTTTCTGTCTTAATTCCCAATATCCCCACATGCCCATCCTGTGCTGGTGGTTACAGTGGACTACCTGCTCTTCTCCAGTGCTTTGCTGTGTCTTTGCTTATATGATCTTCTCTATCTGGAATCCTCACTTCCAGAAACTGACTAGCCCTTCGGTGTTCATTTTGCATGTCACCTTCATGAAGCCTTCCCTGATAGCCTCATGTGCTCATGCTCCTGGAGATCCTGACATTCCAGTTTGTATTACTGTTACTATATCTGCACATTTCTCCCCTCTATCAGGTTATAAATCCTCAAGGATCAAGGCCATCTTATTCATTTTTGTATTTCCTACAGTGTTGAAAAGGAGAATGAAAGGAATTGGATACATTTTTGGAGAACTGAGTGAAGGAAAGAGTCCTCATAATACTTCCACGTCCCACTGCCACCAAGACCAGTCATACCTTCAGGTAAGTCACCTATGGCTAGTGATAACAGGAGGTGACTTGAAATGTTTTTTCCAGAGATAGGATATGAATAACTGTAAAGGCTTTTCTGTTCTGGCTTAAACTGACCGTCCACTTTGCAAAGACCCTGCTGAGGTGGAAATCACATGACAAGCCTTCCTAAAATCATGCCCACTTTAACTCCAAAGCAAATAAGTTCCTACAAATAAGTTGGGTCAGTTTCACCGCCCAACACAGCTTGACCACATGCCTTAAACAAGCAAACAGAGTCTTTATATGTATCATCATGTTTCATTTCTTAACACATCTTAAAATGGGTAGTTAGCATTATTATATATCTAGAAATTAAAGATATGAAATTATAGACTTTGATATCTTATCTGTCTTCATGGGTAAGCAAGGGAAGATGTTATTAGAAAATTCACACTTGATTAAGAAGGGTGGTTTGAGGTAGAAGTTGGTGGTTTCTTATTTCTTAAAAAAAATCTTTGACAAAACCCATTTGAAAGGATGAATGAAATTCAAAATTTGCATATACACACACATATATATATGCATATAAACACACAGGAACATAAGTAGAGTTCTGAAAGTGAGTATGCTCATATTTTCAAAATTTTCTATAAAGTTGCACATGTAATGAGCTTCCTGAGTATTATTTCCCAAGGCAGTAAAAAGCAAAGTACACATCCTTGAAGCTAATCTTTCCTTTTTTGAGATCTTAAATTTTCCCAATGTTCCATCTATTAGTTACTAACCTCTTGGACATGTTAACCTGGTCTTAGAGTGTTTCCTAGTAGCTTTTTAGTATTATCTTACAGCTGGGGTGTGCAGTGGAAAACTACATCCATTGAAAGAAAAAAAAGTCTTAAGAAATCTGCTCATTAGTACCCCCTGTTAACATTCAAATATGATGCCACTCTGTCCTTCCCAGAATTAACAAAGCCTTTGAGTGACAGGAGAGCCCACCCTTCCAAGCTCTGTTTATAAATCGGGGACAATTGAAGTGTAAAATGGTGGCCTGGGTCACAGACAAGGGGCAGAATCCCGGACTCACCCCCTTGTCTGCACTATGTATGTAGGTACCCCCTCTGATTCTGTTTCTGGGGAGAGGCAGCATCAATTATCCTTTCCAAGATTCCAGGAGCATCTGTGACCCTTACCTGCCACACAGCCATGTACTGTGATGACTGTGAAGAACCCCCACATCAGCAAGCTTGGCTCCATCTTCCTGGCACCTGGGATCAGCTGTCTGCTTGAGGGCAGTGAGGAGAAGGTGCTTCTCTGCAGAATGTTAGGCCTCCTGTCAGCCTCCTGTTTGCATTGTGCTGGGAGGGTGAGGGATGAGGAATCAACCCATTTGCTGGTCTGTCCAGTCTGAATGACAGTCAGGAGTGCTCTCTATAAGTATTAGGCTGGTTTGTTCAGCCAGGAAATTGTGCCTAACACTCTCTTCTGTAGTCTCAAATATAGGAAGTGGTTTTAACCAGGTTTTTTTCAAGTTCAATTGCTGGGAGGTGTGGGCTGGGGTTGGTGAGAAGGATCGGACTTCGTTTATGAATCCTTTTCTCAGCTTCACCCAGAAAAAGAGAGGGAGATTCCCCTGCCGTTGAAGGAGGCTGAGCAAGCGCTTCTTGGCAGTGGTCTCATCTAGCGTTTCATAAAATGACATCACTGTGAAGTTGAGGTCTTCCCCTCAACTTGCAGCTCCCTGAGGAGTCAGCAGGGGCCACGGATGGCAAGGCCATGCCCAGTGTGGAAGGGCAGTCTCAGCCATAGATGGGCATTTCCTAAAGCTGTCTGACCACAGATCCCTTTCAAAAGTCTGGTGGGCATCAGGGTGAGATCTCCCATGTTCAGATAGTTAACAAGGAAAAAGCAGACCAATCCATAATCAGAATTCATGAATAATTTCCCAAGATTTATATTTGGTGCTAGCTATAATCATTCTACCTGATCTCCTGGGTTCCTGAATGTGAGTTGCTGTTCTATATGATATTTTGCCTTGCGATTTTTCTCTCTCTTAAAGGATCACACTAAAAGTAGGCTTTGGTTTTAAGTCTTGGCCATTTTGGAAAATCTAATCTTGTTTTCTTGTTTAATTATCAGAGCTATCTTCTGATTTTTTATGATGTGGTTGTTTTGCTCTCTGGAAATTCATGTCTATTAGCAATCATCTGGTTATAGTAAAATACAATTAAAACAATATGAAAAAGCAAACAAGATATTGACAAATTCCAATATGTATTACCTCTACCCGTGACATTCTCTCAGAAAGGCAGCTACCTCTGAAAAGAGCCTTGGAATTTTGCAAATGAACTAAGAATGGTTTCCAAACTAAGTACCAGAGTCTGCAGAGAAAAATAGTGAACTGATCTCTTTCTAAGAGTGGGATAGTTATGCAAATGTGACAAGATTATCTTTCAAGGTGCCCAAGCAGGCTGACCCTCACTGCTAGAATCGTTGACAACTGCACAGTGTGCAGTAACTCCTTGTTACCCCAGGATCTGTCCCAATTAGTAAGCTGGATATTTTTGCAAGCTATACTTATTACATAGATTAGAAACACACTTATGGAAAACTTGAAAGTATAATATAAATAACTTCCCCTTCTAACCATTTAGCTGTTGTTGCCAAAGTACCTAAAGAGGGGTCTTTTGTTTTGGTTTGTGTTGCAGTTTTGTTGTTTGTGGTTTTGTCTTTCCCAACAGCAGGTTAATCTAGCCTGGCTACTATAAGTGGTTTCAATGACAGATCAAACATCACATGCTCCTGTATTAGTGATTTCCTGTGGGGCCGCGGGATTGCTGAGGAATGCTCCACAATTCTCAAATCACATAAGAACAACCATAGTTATGGCCATCCTGCCCAAAGCAATATACAGATCTGATGCAATCCCTATCAAATTACCAACAGCATTCTTCAACAAACTGGAACAAATAGTTCAAAAATTCATATGGAAACACCAAAGACCCCGAATAGCCAAAGCAATCCTGAGAAGGAAGAATAAATTGGGGGGGATCTCGCTCCCCAACTTCAAACTCTACTACAAAGCCACAGTAATCAAGACAATTTGGTACTGGCACA